TTTTTTTTTTCTTTTCTGTGTTAGTTCTTGAAAATATGAAGTGTTGTGTCAATGTTGAAATTTGGTAGAATAACAGAAGAGGTGGAATCTCCTCTGGGTTTGGAGGATATCAGTATTCTGTGAAACCTGCAGAGATCTCATCGGGAGTCCTTTTCTGTAGACACTAGTGAAACAGAAAAAAAAAGTAATTCTGAAGCATCAAAGGAAATTAAAATTACAAAAAAAATTCAGACAGGAAACGTGTACATAATCATATCAAGAGAAAAATAATTTGAGATACAGATACTCCATGGAATGATGAAACCTGGACAAGCATAATGGTGATAGATACACAGATAACCTGAGACATTAAATTAAGGATACATTTATAATAAAAGATTCAATGTTTGCATGTTAGCGTGATTGAGGGGGGGTGGGGGGGGGGGACAACGGTATTAAAAACATTTCATTCTGCAGCAGAAATCCCTTATTTGAAAATCTTAGGGAGGTCAGAGAGCAGTAATAAATAAAGTTACTAGGATATTTTGGCTTGCGAGATGTGATTAAGCTCAAAATAAATATGTATTATCAAAATGCCACAAGCAACAGAAGAGAGAGCGAACGTTTTTCATCCTTCAAACATTTGTAGATAATTGAAGAAGGGAGAGAAAATATTTAAAAGGTTGAAATGCGTTTAAACTGGAAGGAACAGTATTAACTGAGGGGTAGAAATGTTGAAAATAAGATTATGTAAGGTTTATGGGCTGGCATTTTAAGTAGTCTGAGAGTGAGATTAAACAAAACACTGGAGTATGTCCTTTGGGGAGCAGCCCTGCACTGTTCAGAGGACAGCAGAATAGGTTTTGTTTGTGGCTAATTAGCATTCTCTTCCTCCTATCCGGGGTACTACTGGCTTGTAAATCTCGCTTGTTCTAAGAAATTTGAAATAGTTTCTGCTACTGCATCTTTCCTGGGGTTACCCTACAAATTTTTGAAAACTAAAAAACCAAAACCAAACCACTTTCATATTTAACTCCTATTTTAGACACAAGATAGGGGCAGACGGTGTGGACTGTGGGAAGCATGCAGACAATTGTATATAATAAAATATTGTAAGCAGAAGAGCTGGAAAAGGAGGCAGCATGTGGATGGAGTGGAGCTGTCATGACAGGGGATAAATAGATCGAGTGGGTGAGCAATGGGGTTGCTGATAGCCAGTTTGCAGTGGGATAGCCATCGTTCAGCCTCGCCTCCCTCCCGTTTGTAAAACTCGCCCTGCAGATCTTGATGATGGCTGAGGTCGAGTCAGAAACTCCCTGCTTCAAAGCCAGGAATGGCAAGGGAGTGAGCAGCAGTGGAGGGCTGATGGAGCTGCCCTCCTTTTGGGGAGGGGGGAAAAAACCCCTGTCCTGCTTTCAGAAAATGTGCTCGCTGCGTGAAAACCCTTTGCAGAGCTGCTAGCACGCGACACGGGGCTGCAACTGCTCGGGGGAGCGCGTGCAAGGAACCGAGCACCGGCCGTAGCTGGCGTGCTTGCCTGAATTTTGCTTTCCCAAGATAAGGCTGCGGAGTTTTGTGTTTCTGCAGGCAGCAAGGCTTTGCAGCAGCTGGACTTTAGTTAATGAAACCGTCCGTCGTTCGGCGCGGGCCAAGGCTGCAGCTCAGGTCCGCTAAGTGGTATTGAATGCCCTTCCTTCTCCTTCTCCCCAGCTGCGGGAGCGCGTGGCCACGTGGCCCCTGGGGAGGCAGGCCAGATAGACTAATGTCAGAGCAAATTTGGGATTCAGCCAGTGTCTGAATGACCTGGTGCTGGCTGGAGGTACGCTGCATTTATCATTGTTGCCTTCGCCCGGAAGGGAAAGCTGCAGGTAGGCTGATAAAAGGACTGAAAGGTTTGTCCGGCTGCACTGGAGGTCCGTCAGCCCCTGCATGCTCTCTGCTGAAAGGCTGCTTGGTAATTCCTACTCTGACTTTTCTGTCCTCAGGATAAGGTCTGCTTCTTTTTTTACTCCGTTGATTTAAGCATGCTGGTGTCAGAATAGGCTCAAGCACCTCTGGGCTTTGTGGGGGAGGACCCAGGGCTGGAACAGCAGCCAAAATTTAAAGTCAGGATTAGTCTGTTGACACGCACATAAATCAAACAGCCCTCCTATCATAAATCTTTTCTGTGGATTTTTTTTCTGCTGCGGCGGTGGAAGCAGTAGGAGCAGTGCAGCAGCCTGGGCTTCCCAGGGTTGGGTTTCAATGTCAAGGCTGTTCTCCTTCACCCCAGGTGGCTGAATGCAGCTCCCTGCTCCCCCCTCGGTGAGATCCCTGCAGTGGCTGCAGGACTGCATGCTTTTGTGTTTGCTTCGGGGGGTTTTCGGGCATGGTGGGGTAGTTCTTTTTCTGTCTTTTGGGGATATCTTTTGCATGGTCAGCTGTCTGTTTCTGAGTCATCTGGTTGGTATCAGCTACATCTAAGGCAGTGCTAAAAGCTGCTAAAATGTCCACTGTCCTAGTGTAGAGGTCTCTGTGGGATACCCTAAGCTGAGGGAGGAGTGGGTAATTAATGCATTGTGTGATGGTGGTGATGCTCGGGACTGGTGCAAGCGTGCTCCAGGCTTGTGTTCTTGACTCAGGTCCCACAGCTCTTTGGTGTCTTCTGCACAGTCAGCACAAAGCAAATGGGATATTCCACTGTCTGGGACCTGAGCACCTGTCCTCTGTACTCGGTGCTGCCAGAGCAAAGGAGGGGGCTGCTGCACAGATTCGTTTTAAAATCAGTACTACTTTTCTCTCACTGCAATGCAACGTAGAAGAGTGTGCTCTGAACCACACGATCTGCTTGCTTGTGAGCAGAGCCATGAGGGTCAGGCTGGAGGAGTTGGACCCAGATATGGTACTTCTAGGCATATTAAAGAACCCTGTTCTTCTGTCTGTGTTTCATTCTCCATTCCAGTGTTTCAGTGCCTCTTCCCCTTTCCAAAATAATGCTTTACTGTGCATGAAGCCTTGTGTGAGATTACAGGGGTATGCAATTTGCAAGACCTATAATTTGTTCTCCATATGCCACCTGATAGCAAGAAAGTCGCCCGAGAAAGGTTAAGAAAACAGTGTCGTGGCTTAGAGGAGCAAGGCATGCTCTTTCTGATAGAGAAGATAATAGAAGACTGTGCAGTATTGTGGTGGTGGTGGGTGGATTATCCACGTGAACATGTGTGTGCATGTATCGTTTCTCAGGCTGATGTTTTGATCTATCTTCTGTAGTATAAAGCTGTTTTCTCCTTTTCCGTTTCTTCAGGGTAACCAGGAGCCAGCAGCAACTCCTGATGCAATGGTGCAGCCATTCACCACAATCCCATTTCCGCCACCCCCACAGAACGGGATTCCCACAGAGTATGGGGTGCCACACACTCAGGACTATGCAGGCCAGACCAGCGAGCACAATCTGACGCTCTACGGAAGCACGCAGCCGCATGGAGAGCAGAGCACGAACACGGCCAGCACGCAGAACGGATCTCTTGCAGTAAGTGCGGAAGGGTGCAGAGCAGGAGAGCAGCACAGTGATTCGGGAAGAAGCAGCTGTTGATTAGATTGCTGACTGTTCCTAAGTATGTAGTGAATCAGCGGTAGACTTGAAAAGGACAGAATTATAAACAAAACATAGCTTCTGACCTTCCAGTACTGGGTTCCTGTCTTTCCCCTTGTGCATGTTCGCCTCATAAATACGTGTCTGCAAAGAGCGGTAGCACTTGGGATCCCAGTGTTTTTACCATGGTGGCGTTGCCCGAAGATAGTCCTTTACAAAAGTGTTAATTACCTTGTCTTAATTGGCAGGCAGTTCAAATGAATGCGATGGAGGCAAATTCTGGAAGGCTGACAGTCAAAGGATTAGAGTGAGCACATGCATTGTAGGTGTATGTGGTTTTGTTTTCAGGAAGCTAGCAGAGTAGAAAAATACTTTTCTTTGACTTTCTGAAGATCACAGGGAGCTTCAGGGGCAAAGATAGGAGAGGACCTCTCAGCTACTGGGCATCCATTTGCCAAACAAAGATTTTCACCTTGTATTTTTTTTGCTTTCTTCTTCCTATGGCCTGGAACTGGCACTGGGCAACATGCTGGCAGATTATCCCAGGAAAATCTTTATCCACCTCTTAAGCCACTTGTTAAGACTTAACTTCCTAATAAAGAGCCTTATGGTGAGAGCCTTTGGTGCTCAGGGGCGGATTTAATCTGTTAATGCTTTCAGTTTTACTTGTAGTTGGGTGTTTGGATCATAGAGATTATTTTTGCCCCATAAATACTGAGTGAATTCAGTGCCAACGACTGGAAGAACTGGTGGTGCCAACTTGAGTGTGTGTAGTTCCCAGCATGCACCTCTGCTCCTTCTGCAGTGGGCAGTGGCCGCGTGGTTGACACCACTGGTTATGAATTTGATATCTTCTGAGTTCATCCTGGCAACGCTGCAACTTCAGCATCTTGAAGAAGAAAAAAAGAGTACAAACCCTGTAGAGCACATTGATAGTGCCTAAAAGGAACTTCTGGTGCCTTACTCGGCAAACACAAATGTAGGTGAGAAGAGATCAGGCTGGAAATAAAACTCGTAGCTGGTGCAGTGTGCAGAAGTGCAAGTCATCATTTTAATACCAGATTGTCCGATGTCACTGTGGCCCGTAAGATCCGGGCTGCCCATCCCCAGCAAACAGCTATATTGAGCACTGCCAGTTGGATGGGAAAGCTGGAAACGGGGAATAAAACAGGGCAGGGGCTTTCCCCATGTATTTTTGCTGTTCCCATCCTTGCCCAGAGCTTAAGAGCATTTCTTTTTAATGAAAGTGATGCAAGCTTTGACCTTGGATGTAAGCTCTTGCCAACCGTCCTGCTCCTTTTCCATATTAGGAGCCATCTCCGTGGCGCTGCAGGGCTGAGCTCTGCGTTTCATCAACTAATGCCAGCTCCGAGGAGCCCACAGTGCTCAGGGAGGCTGGCTAGCCTGCGAGGAGGGACTGGGAGCCCATCTGTGGGGGAGGGAGCGTTGCTGGGAGACTGCTGGGAGGCAGTGGTGTTGCCAGGAGGCTGCCGAGGGAGCCTGACTGGCAGGGGTTATCCGAGAAACAGGCTGAATATCACGTAACGCTTGTCCTGGCTGTTGGAAACAGGTGGGCACGTCTGGTCTGACCGTTTGAGGTGGTTAAAGATGTGCGAGCTGAGCGTGCGGAGTCGGGCTTACAGACCGTAGCTAGCCGGGAAAGGGTAAGGGCGCAGACGAGCACGTTGCTGCTGCTGCTGCTATGGCTGGGACTGATCAGACCCAGAGGATCCCAGATGGTGGCACATGAAGAAATCCAGGGGGAGGGGGAAGGCGCCTCAGCCAAGGGCCTTTCACATGCCAGACTTTCACATGTATGGGGTCCTGAATCTTCTGAGTCCCTTTTTCTTTCTGTCTAGGACTCCTTCTGTATGAAGTTATTTTGATTCTGTGGGCTGCCTTGGGATGTAATTGCTTGTAGCTTTTCTCCTTCTCAGTATGCTGATTAATGATGTAGGAACTAGGGGAAGGAAGAGGGCTTAGTAGTTATTCAAGCTAAAGCATGCTATTAAAATAGAGCAGAACGGGACTTCTGTTCTTTAAGACAACTTTTCCTTTCACCATTTTGTTGTCTTGTCTAAACAACAGTGCTAACTTTAATAGAGCAAAAAGTCATCATGGGTGATGTATGATCCTTCCTTCCCATTATTGAGACTGACAAGCGCAGCTGCTGTCACGTGTGTGAAGGCGATAACCCAGACCGAACAGACGGTGGATTTTTTAGCTGCCAACTTGAAGCCTGTGCTCCCATGGGATGATTCAGGAATTCCTTCAGCCAGACAGATAAGGTCTCTCCTTACTTTTAAGAACAAGGCCTGTGCTTGATCCAGTTGTCAGGACAGCGCAAGATAGTAAAAGGTGTGCTCGGATGGCAGGGCTTTCCTGCTTTTTGGGCTGGTAGCCTTTAGGATAATTGCAAAAGTAGCAGAGAATATGGGATGGCTTAAAGGTCCCTCATGGAAAGGGGAGTTTCATCTAGTTGGTAAGGTGTTGTGCAGCAATATAATGGGGTCTGTAACGGGGCCCCTAACACGCTGTGTTGGAGCACCTTTTCACAGAAACTTGGCAGATTCTGGGGGGCAAGTTAGATTGGATGATTGGAGATTAGCTGTGGTGTGTGAGTTAATAGGCAGTGGTCTGTAAGCCTGAGGTCAAACATCAGCAGTGAGCTTAAGTAAAATAAACTTTGAGAGTCAAAGTCCATGCCTTCCTATGCAATCTAACAGCCCCAAGCAAAGGGGAATGACTGGCTGGTGTCATCAGCTAAGGATGAGCTTGGTTCTGGAGGTCTGAGTGTAGTGGAAAGCATTCAGAGCGCTCAGAGCCAGGGGCATGGAAAAGAAATGGGCACAATAGGTGGTATAATACAAACAGCTTAATACTTTGGAATCTTTTTTTATTTTAGGATCAAGCCTCATCTATGGGGCTTTGTTTCTTGCCTGGCATGTGGGTCTCGCGGTCTTCATCTCCAAGCATCTGCCCTTTCTCTTGATACTGTCCCAAAGCACAGCTGAAAGACCTGGATTAAAAATAGACGGAGGTACCAGACCATATTTGGCCTACTCGGTCTGCCTGTTGCAGCCTGTCTGTTAAACCGTTGGCGCTCTGCTCCTCGCTTCTTACGGTGCCGGGTCACCTCGTTTCTTTCCCCTTCCCCCTTCTTGGTTTACATTAGTACACTTAGCCCCAATGCAGACACCCAGCACAGATAGCTGCAAGTGGAGATGCTAATTAGGCTGCAGTACCTCTGGCAGCTGAGCTGATCTAAAGATTCACTGCTGTCAGAAAGGAGAGATCTGGCTCCAAGCGCAAACTCCCACTCCTATTTACTGGCTCTGGCATTCCTTACGTGAGCCACTTTAATTCACTGACCTGGCAGAAAGCTGTCCAATTCTTTTGCTGGGTTAATGAATTAGAGCAGCTCTTGGAGGGATCCAGCAAATGCTGTTGTTGCAAGGTAAGCGTATGGAGTGCATGGCCAGAAGCCGAGAGCAATTGTCAGCTCTCTGCATCTCCTGGTACTCTACCCGCGGAGGGAAGATTAATCATCCGCTGAACTAAAAAAGCTTGCTTGATAGTAAATGCAATGCACTTAATACTGTGAGCTGATTATTCAACTCGTTTCTCTTGTTAATGTCAGAGGGAAGAATTTGTGTGTCTGTATAAATTATGGAATGCAGCTGGAGGTACAGAAGTAGAGGAATAAGTTTATGTAAATTACTTTGCCTGGAAATGGCAGGTGCTGTCGCCTTGGTGTTACATCGTCAAGAACCAATATAAAGCATTATTTAATTACAGAGCATCGTGTCTCTCAGCTTCTTGATGTGCCATACTGAAACATGTTTGACTCATCTGCTATACCATGAAGGGATATTGACTTTCTGATTTCTTAAAGGAGACACATCTGTGGTGGGGGACCCCTACATATCGTGCTTGGAAGCAAGACAGGGCAGGTGCTCGGTCATCTAGCTGTGCCCCATCCATCTATCAAGGGCTTGGAAAGAAGGAAGCCAACGGCACCAAGAGTTCCTCAGCTGACTTTTATAACACATGGATGATGTTATAATGATGACTTTCCCTTGGGTATTTCTTGCCTAGTCTGAGATTGCAGAATTTTCCTCTGTAATTATTTTTCATCACTTTAGTAATTAAAGCAATTGCTCATGTGAGGTATTTCAGGTGAAGAATATGTTTAATGAATATCCTCACTTATCTTTTGATACTGCTGAGCAGGTAGACACAAGGAGGAACTAGCTTCAAATAAGCAGCTAGCTGCTGATTGTTTGGCCACCGCAGCTTGGAAATTGCTGTCTTGAGGTAGCGAACTGTGACATTTAACATCAGGAATTTGCTTTGAGTATGAGGCAGATTATTTTATTGAGTATGAGGCAGATTATTGGCAGCACTTGTAGACTTGTGTCTAGTGAGGCAGATTTAAAAATTATTTAGGAAGAAATAGGAAATAAATTGACAAATATCATTATGTTGGAGTATACAGCTGTGGTACTTCATATCTCTCAAAGGTTACAGCAGATCTAGAAGTAGTGCAGGGAAGGATAATAGTGATGATGAAAGGGATGAGCAGGTTCTTTATGAGAAGAAATGAAATACTTATAAAAAGAGCTGACAGGAATGAAGGCATATGACAAATGCACAGAGTATTGAATGGTATGGGAAATAAAATAGGGAACTTTCCCATTTTCACTTACTAGGATGTATTCAGGAAATAATTGGGTGCCACGTGAAAAAAAAAAAAGAGAGTTTTGGGTTTTGTTTTTACCATATAATGAAGAATTTAGCATTGGAACTCTTGCACGTAGGATGCTTTGGAAGTTGAGACATCCAACTGGCTCAGTTTGCTGGAGGCTGTGCCGGAGAAAAGTCACCAAACGTTTGCCCTGTTCTTATGTTCTTCCAAATCTGCCACAGATTTGACC